CTACGCTTCAGAGATATATACTCGGGTAATCCTTGATGAGATGAATTTTTTTTAATTTTGCCTTGATGTACATTTGCTTCCAGTCTTGTACATAATTCATCATCCAATGAAAATTTGGAATTTGATGTTTCTTTTAGATTAGTGTCTGTTCGTCATATGTGATTAGATTAGACTTTGTTATTTCATTACTTAGGGGGAGATTGTTAGATCCCACAATGCAAAATGTAAAAAGTAATGAAAAACAATAAGTGATGAAGAACCAAAAGATCGATGAAGACATCAAGGAAGAAAAGACTAAGTCTGGATCGATGGAAAGACTAACCAGAGCATCGATGGAAAGACCAACCATCGAACCGATGGACTAAGTACAACCAGCGGATCGATGGATGATGCGATGGAAAGTGTATTCATTGATACGATGAACAGTCTAACACTTAGAAGATTTTMTAAGTATTCATCCAAGCATGCATTGAAGACTTGAAGATTCAATACTTCTTCCACATCTGATTCACCTCGCTGGTATGACTTCGACGCCTTTTTGGTAAACTACTCAATCTCATCAGAAAACATAAAAAAAATTACACCTCTATAGGTTCGTTGTTGTCGCTCATGTAATCATCGCTTTGTATTCATTCTTCGAAATAGGAGCTTCTATTTGGAAATTTTCTAGAGGTTCCACCATTTTTTCAGAGTTTTCTCAACTCTTATTTGACTTCGCCGATGATCAGGTTCTCATTTTTTGCTTCTAGCATCTTCTTCTCAAGAATTTTCCGTATAGAATCAATGTTTGCATCTGTAAGACGCCAAATAGCTGAATCCAACGACGTTTTCTACAGGTGTTTGCCAACTTGTTGCTATTGGCGGGATCAACGGGCACGTAGCTTGCCAGACAACCGAGAGGGATTCCCACGTATACAACCAATAATCAATGCAGATGAAGTTGAAAGAGTAAGTCAAAAAATCCTTTCTTAAATTTCTCAAAATCTCAATTGGGTTACCTCTGCTTGACATAATTCTCTTCTTGGTTTTTCGTTTTCTTTTATCTAGATTTATGCCTCTGGATAACTTAATTTCAGTTCTTGGTATCAAAATTTTGGTTTCAAGATGAAAAGTTCAATCTTTTCTATATTAGTTTATATAGGTGGCTTACACTATAATGTAATAATTTATCTCTTTTAACAATTAGAAGTGACTATCATCTCCATTTTGGTTTTGAGTTTATCCGTATCTCAAATATTACTATTTGATGTTCCTATATCATCCTTCATGTTATCGTTCTTGGATAAGAACTTATTTTCTTATTTGTATTTTAACCATGTATAAATTCAAACCGCACATTAAAAAATACCAAAAAACACCTTTAATATTATTGTAATCTTAGTAATAATAAAATAATATATTTTTATTATGATATTCTTTTTGTTATTAAAACACAATTATTATAATATATAATTAATGTTTATAATTAATAAATAATTATCATTTGTTGTATGTTTGTATACCTAAATTACCAGTATCAAGTGTAGTTATCGAGATAATTTTGATGCACATATTTTTCTCTTTGATAATCTTGCAAGTTTTTTCTTTAAAATCTTTTTACCAATTAACATCCAAGTAAGAACACATCTTTATTAATATAGTTGTATTATTATTTTTTTATTGACCTGGATATCCAACCCATTATGTAAGCCAACTAATCCCAGGGTGACCACCCACTATGCGAGCCGACTAATCCCAGGGTGACCACCCGCTTCGTGGATAGCCCGGAATCACCGCATTTGAACCTCCGTGGCTACAAGGGGATTTTTATTCATCCTTGTATTCGAACCTGGAACCTCCAGACACTTTTGACCTTTGGAGCCTAAGCTCAAACCAATCAAGCACCATCCTTGTGATTTTAATCTTTTGTTTTTGGTTACAACAAAGTTTTACATTTAACTGCAACATGAACCAGAAACAATGTTGTTTCTGACAGACACTTGTTGATTTTGATGACAAAGTGAGAAGCCAATAAACTTTGTAGACATCAAAACTGACACCAATTAAGTCCCAAACAGGAAACTCTTGGAGGTTAAATTTTGACTATTTGCAGATTATCTAGGATAAGCGAAAGAGAGGTTCTTGGAAAGAAAGCATAGAGAAATGATTTCAATAGGTTCAACATCATGCATGTTGGTCAATCAACCATTATAAAGTCACACTTTTACACTTAATATTCACTCATCAACTATGTTTTCAAGACGTTGTATGTTAAAGAGGCTAATCTAGCATTTGTAGATGCAATAAATTGCTTAAACTCACAGAGTAATTTCAGTATTCAATATATCATGTCCTTTTACATAGTTTTATTTCGATAAGTTCACTTTATAGTTTTTTCTTGTTTGAAAATTATAATACTATGACATTTTTAATGTTTACAAATATCGTTGATCTTTCAAAGTTGGGATGAAAATGAAGTTGTCAAAACAAAGTCATCAAATTTTTTTGAGATTTAAAGATGAACTATTTCTTCAAAAAAAAAACACCTATTTGACTGATGGTTTTTATAGGCTTCAACATTCATATTTCTCATTTAGTTATCAAAATATCATTTTACTTGCAAACAATGCCAGAATTTAAATGATAAAAACATTTTATAAATAAATAATTAAATTTTCATTTATAAGAAAGTTTTATATTTAGCTGCACTGCAATGTATACAAAAAAAAAAAAATATATATATATATATATATATATATATATATATATAGGGTTGGGTTCACGTGAGACCAGCTTGTTTTCGTGAGACCCGTGAGACCACATTTTTACATGTAACCTTCACAGCAAAAACACTGTGAAGGTTTAAAAAAAGTCGAACCTTCACTGCAAAAACACTGTGAAGGTTTTAAAAAGTCACCTTCACAGCATTTTGCTGTGAAGTTTCAAGTGTAAAATGTTGGTCTCACGGGTCTCACGAAAACAGGATGGTCTCACATGATCCCAAGTCTATATATATATATATATAGGGGCTCATTCAAGGGAGAACTGATTAGTTTGTGGTAACTGTGAGATCCAATATCAACCACAAATCAATGGATAAATTAGGAGATTAATAATTATGGTAATTTGAGTTAAAATTATAATTATAGGAAATTTTAAGTATTTTTTAAAAACTCCTCTCTCCTCTCTCATCTCTCCGACCTCCAATGTCCGGCCTCCGGTAAACATTAATCTAGCATGTACCAAGTAATCTCAAAGATACACAATGTGATACCGTAGTGATACCAACTCAAACCTTAAAAACAAAGATATACAATGTGATATCCATTGTAATACACAATGTGATACCCATTGTAATATACTGTGGTACCGATTTCACCGGAGGCCGGAGAGATGAGAGAGGAGAGAGAAGTTTTTCTAAAAATACCTAATATGCCCTCTAATTATAATTTTAACTCAAACTACCATAATTATTAATTTCCTAATTTATCCGTTGATTTGTGGTTGAGATTGTACCTCACAGTTACCACAAACTAATCAGTTCTCATTTGATTAGGCCTATATATATATATATATATATATATATATGTGTGTGTGTGTGGGGGGGGGTATATTTCAAATGCAAGTCATCGTATTTGTACAACCAATACAACCCAATCAATTGAGATATTTATGGAAATGATGAGAGTTCATTTATTATAATTTAAATATTTATGGAATATGACTAAGGTTGATTAATTATGATCAATACTTTGTATTAGGAAACAATTAAAACTTTTATGAAATCATATATTCATCAAATTAAATGGACGGTTGAGATTGAGTTGTATTGGTTGTACAAATATAAAACCCTTTACATTTGTACAACCAATACAACTCAATCTCAACCGTCCATTTAAGTTGATGAATATTGATTTCATAGAAGTTTTGATTGTTTTCTAATACAAAGTATTGATCATAATTAATGAACCATATTCATATTCCATAAATATTCAAATCATAATAAATAAACTCCCATCATTTCTATAAATATCTCAATTAATTGAGTTGCATTAGTTGTACAAATGGACATGGTTGCATTTAAAATATACCTTTTATATATATATATATATATATATATATATATATTGTTTGTAATAAGTTTTGGGAAAATTGACTAACGGGTTGGGTTTTGATGAAACGAATCAAAGTGAGAAGTGTAAGAAGGAATCTCTACCCTTGGATGCACCAAGATGAGATGCACTGGAACAATCCCCGTATCCAGCACAATTCATGGGTGAGTTTGAGATTAAAAGTAATCAAGAGTTCATATCCCTTCTTACGTTTCTCACCTCAACTCTACTTCTCACACGATCCTTCGCCTATATAAGTTCAATTGCAAACCATTTTTTGGCTATGAATCGGTGGACAAAGAAGAGCACGACATGTATCCCTCGTGTCCACATTTAGTATGAATAACAAATGTAAAGTTCATGAACTATTCACAATGAATGATACAACATTCATGATAATGCACAATCATAATTTAGGTTAAATTGATTCACTATTCATGATGAATAATACACATTCATCATGAATGATACATTATTCATATGAATAAGCCGTGAAGGCACACATGTCATGCTCTCCTTTGTCTCCTGATTCATGCTTTCAATTGAACCCCACCCCGATATATATTAATAAATTTAAAGTTCATAAAATTTATTAATTGAACAGGGCCTTGACTAGTCGCATTCTCGGTCTTTGCCGGTCCTTTGCTAGATCAAGCCCATAATCGAGCCTTGACTCGAAATTTTTAACTAATCCATGCTTACCGGTCCTGTGCTGTTCTTAACCGGTCCTCACTCGGGATCGGCCTTAGGCCCGTTTGAACATCTATATACAACACATAACACTAAAATGAAATTTTGTAGATGAAATTTTGTACAACTACCTATTAAGGTACGGCTCAACTGGTAAATAAAAGCTACGCCTTGAGGCTCCTCCCTATAGATTGCTGATTCGAGTCATCTCAGGACCACTGGAGATATTTACGTTACTGTCATTTTCAAGACCCCGTAGGATTACTCGAGGTGCGTACAAGCTGACCCTGTGCGTTTTAAAAAGGTTGCAGAATTGCATGATCTCTGTTTACGGTTGACAAAACTCAACTACAATATCTCATAACTTGATCTCTGAGGTTGACAAAACTCGACACGAAAATGAAAATTACTACAATAATTAAGATCAAACAGTATATTCCTAGAGGCTATACAAACATGACGATCAGATCCAGTCCTTGGGGTTGATACAAGCATCCAAAAGTTTCCATTCTTCGCTCCCCTCTTCGGGTTTCTGAAATTATCCACCAATTCTAAGTTTTTTGAACTTTAGCAATCCCACATACAAGTTATTTAAAGGAAGAACTTACATGGTCGTATTCCCATCTAGCCGTTAGTGGAAGAGAGACGAGAATACTCTCAATTCGACCTCCAGTTTTGAGACCGAACGTTGTTCCTCGATCATATACCTTAAAAGATTTAGAGTGTTCAGATCAAAGAAATAAAACACATAGTAATCAATGAAGTGCTTGCTACTCGCATTAGCCAAGTTTTTTCAGCCCCCTCCCAATTAAAAAACATGCTTCTATCTATAGAAAAACCCTTTCAAACAAAAACTTTCCAAATCTATACAGAGATTAATCCATACAACAGCTTTATCCATACAGGACTTATTGAAAAACCAACCAAACAATCCCCTAATCAGTTTCAACTTTTCTGAACCGTAAAACCAAATTCATATGTATTATTTTAAATCAAACGAGTACCAGGAAAATGTTGAGAAAAGTGACAACCAATTTCACATGAATTATTTTGCATGCGAAACAATACATGTAGTTGTTTCATATGATTGTTTCACATGTGAACAATAATACCACCTTGCATCATAGACTGATATGAAACTCACTGAATTTTTGGGATTGGTTCTCAAACATTTATGTGGCTCTCATTTGATTTTTCCCACATATATATAGAGAGAGAGGAGCGATCAAATGAAAACCACCCTCATTTAAAATTTTTATGAAATTTTTTTGAAATTTTAATGTTCATTTTTTTGTTTATTCTTATGAAATTTTTCATGAAATTGTTTAATCTTATGAAATTGTTTCATATAATACTTTTTTTGATGAATTTGTTTCATATATGGTTATGAAATTGTTTCATATAATACTTTTTTTGATGAATTTGTTTCATATATGGTTATGAAATTGTTTCATATAATATTTAATGAAATTTTAATGAAACCGTTTCATGTATTTCTCTAAAATTAAAATAATGAAGATGATAATATCCATGACTAACACCCTCCACAATAAAAATGGTTAATCAACCTCTCATAATTACAAAAAAATGAACAAAATGAAAAATTATTATTGGTTGAATGAGGTTTTTACGGTTTTTACAACTTGAGTGGTTTTTATTTGAACGCTCCCCTATATATATATATATATAGGGTCAGGTTCTGCAGAACACGCTAAATAAATAGAAAACCGGAAAACCACGAAAAAGAGGATGAAAAAGTGTATGAGTAGGATGTCAAAGTAACGAGAAAAATATGATTGTTATTTTCGTCTAATTTGTTTCATTCGAATTTTGATCATATTTCTTATTTTTTCGATTAAAAAAATAGGGGGCTAGAGATTTTTTAATATAAAAATAAAGTTGTAACCGCCTCTTTAATCACATCCATTGGATCGATTAATCTAACGGTTGATGGAGTGTTTTTTGGATTTTCATTTTTTTAGGTCTTCTTCTAAACCCCCCCCCCCCTCTCTCTCTCTCTCTCTCTCTCTATATATATATATATATATATATATGTTCAATGTGTTTGGTATTTCTCTTTCAGGATTACACAAACCAAACTTGACCATGCTTTTTGACCATTTTGGCATCAAAACGAATGACAATAACCAATGAAGTGCCGATTCAATTTGATTGTGTGCTTCCAGTGTTAAGACTGAGCATTTCACAATTGTCTTTCACATGATACGAAAATAAGGTAAGCATTGTAAGAATTCCATACCAAGTTGAACTCGACATAGCGGCCCCTCCGCAGTTGCTGCCATGCCTTGTTTTGATCCGTGAACGGCAAATCCTTTCTCCTTTCTATAATTGGCAGATATGCTTCAACCACTGAGTTGGCACATTCTGCACTTGGTTGCATCAAATTGTTATCAACTTTGTAAAACATATCATCGTGACTACAAACAAAAAAAATGAAGGATATATGCCATCAAATAATTGAGATGTTCCTGCATTACCAGTAGAAAACGCGAGAAGCATTTCCTGATCGTAGTCATTCAGATCATCAAAAAATATGCCTCCTAGCCCTCGCCTCTCATCTCGGTGCTGCATATACACATTTTATGGTTGCCTTTTCAATAAAAACTAAAAGCATTAAATTAAAGACAAAATAACCAACCAAGATCAACTAACATAGTTTTACTTTAGACCAACCAATATCGACTAAAGTCCAGCACTAAAAGTTACCAGAAATAAAATGCAAAAAATTCTTTCGAAAGATAAAGGAGCCCTTCAGTGTGTAGAAGTAGATTAAGAAAGGCAATAGAGTGGGTATGAAGAACGAAGAGACAGAACCTCTGGTAAAACACGTAAGAGGATGATTTTTTTAAGGGGGAGGAGGGGGAATATGAACGATGAAGGATTGAATCTCAATGGATAATGGTAGCAAGGTCACTCTACCACTTATAATACCTAGTTATATATTTAGTCGAAGTCCACTGTGACAACGATTGGATTCACCATGAGTGCCAACCTCGTAATGATAACCAAATCATTAGTTGTTTTACTATGATTTGGATCGGGGTTATATACTTATATCAATAACAGTATTAAAGATTGTACTGTCGGGGACTTTCTTGAAAGTAACAAAGACCCTACCTTAGAGCTAGCTATGCATAGCCAACGCTCTGCAGTACAATTAAAGAATAGGAAACTAAATATTTTCCTAACTAGAAACTATCAATTATTCTAGTAGCAATCTAGGAAGGCATTGATGGTGGACGGATGCATCAAGTTAATTTATTTTGTTTATTTCTTTACTCTTACCCCTCTCTACCTAAACACCAGGACTTATGAGTTCAGAATCACCTTACTCTTTGATGTAGTCAACTATCATAAAAACTTAGAGTGTCAGATTGCCATGCGCGACTCTCTATTTCTTTCCAATTAATTCAACTCAAATTGTTCAACATATAGCGATCATATTGGTATACAAACAAACTCTATGATATAATTTCCCCGGAAACTACCTTAAGTTTCTTGGTGATTATGTTTCAATTTCGTGAAGACTTGAGCTTCTTTCTCGAAATTTTAATTTTGAGATGCGTTACTCTTTTTTTATGAATAACCGCCAATTTATACAATCCTGATCAGTGTAAGTGTATATTATCTTTGTGCATAAATTTTCTTACATGTGTATATGAAATATATGACAAATTGGAGCAAGTGTGTGAAAAATGTCTGCATCTTGTGTGTATATACATGTATACAATTATTTGATTGCGAGAACCCATGAATGAAACACATAAGCGAAATCCAGAAAAAAATCTTAGAAGGTATACCTTAATGTAGAAATAGTCATCACACCACTTCTTGAACTTCGGATAAAAGCTCGGATCAAACTTGTCACAAGCATTTTTTTGTACCTTGAAGAGAAAAAAGCCACAAAATCAACTACTAGTAAACTGTAAAAGGTATTCATGCAAGATTTTCAGATTTTTTTTAGTAAAACTAGTCTATAGGGTTCATGAAAAGATCCCTCTTCATATGGCTTGAGCAAATTATAGGCCTTCCCAGCAAAGCCTTGAGAAGTTATTAATTCAGTGCTTGCCACCAATCCACCATACATCTAAATGTTCTCTCTTTCTAAAGGACTCTGCCTCCAGCTATCAACTAAGGGGTCGTTTACCAAACACTTACCAGATAAGAGCTTACTAGCAAGATCACCATCAACACTTATCTTATCGGGTAACATTCTCGGTCATCAAAAGGGATTGTTTGTAAGCATTTTTTACCTGGTAAGAGTCTTCTCCCTCACTTACCGGGTAAGATTCTTGGTCCTTGATATGCCTCTCATCGGGTAAGATTCTAGGTCCTTGCCATGCTCATCCGGAAGGTAAGTGACACCCAATAAGCGCTTACCAGCTAAGCATTTGGTAAACATCCCCTAAGTTATCGATTGAATATAGAAGATTTTGCAATTCAACATCATGCAAATAAAATTACCGTATGGAAGTGCCTGACGTCATCCTCAAATATATAAGCAGGGGTCAAATCAGTACCACCACCAAACCACCACTGCCTTGGTGCTCCTGGAGCATCTGCATGTGTTGACAAGAAGCAAATTCTTAAGTACATCCAAATATAGCATAAGTACAAGTAGTTTAAGCTACATTACTTAATCTAAAATATTAAATTCAACCTAACTAACTAAGCATCTTGATGGTTTCAACTGTCTTCATCCACGTCCACCGTTTAGTCTCTCCCACCAATCCCTTTGCTATGCTTACATCAACTTCAACCTCCCTTCTCAGAGTAATCATCATGAATCATTGAATTGCTTTCATGGTTTGTCTATTGGAGTCAATTATTATTATTTGCGGATATCTGATTTGATTGAGAAATCGAAGGACTATTACCCTTCAAAGCCTGTGGTTTTTTTTGGTACAAAAAAGATAGAAAATGGAGCTCCATGTTCTATAAAAAGGTTTACTGAAAACTCCCTATGAAAGCTACATATACCGTAAGAGAAGCCATCAAACTTTAGATTTTGTTCTACTGGAAGAGAACACAAATATAGAGTACAAATATATCGATGAAAGATGTTTTAAAGAAGTAACAACTACTTTCTATGAACAAAATTGGAATCTACCTCCAGATCATTCATACGCTTGTGGAAAATGCGTTCTCCACTAGTATCCTTGGAATTTTTGGATCTAAAAATCAGCAATAACATTATACACATTCTTCACTGACACAAGAAAATGCCCTTACGAGATTAAGTAATCCCATTCACCTATAAATACTCAACATTTCCATAATCTATCTAAAATTCGCTCTAAACTTCAGTGTTGCAATCTTCTTTCAGGACATCCTGGTAATTACAATATCATCAAGATGAAAGACTAGAAGAATATCTTGAAGAAAATTGTAAGGTCACAAACACTAGAACCATACAAGATTTTCAACATCTTGAGAAAGCAAGAAAAGCGAATGTAACACAAGTGCCCATATCTTTAGCATACTTCAATAACAAATACAGAAAGAGTCTTGAATCAAAGACCTAATGATAGCACTTAATATAATGTAATAAACTGTATTCTTGACCTCAATAGAAGAGCCAATGACGAGTAACAGCCTAAAAACCAAAAGGAGAAAAGATGTCATCTTGGCAACAATGTCCAGGATAGCCTTGTAATCCTCTTCATATGGTTCAAAGTGACAACTCGCTTTAAGACAAGCTAAAAACCGTAAAGACTAAGATTCACAATACAAATAGTAAAACGAGACCACAATATAACCTCAAATAAATAATCTAAAGGTAAAGCCAAGGAAAAAGTAACCAAACATAAAACATTTGCAGTTCTATAAGACCAACAAGAAGAATAACTATGGATCAACTAGCAACAAATCCAACAGCAGAATGAAATACCTTTGTCCTTGGCTTATGAGGCTAGAGAAACAGAAGACATGAAGTGG